GACGCGCCCCTGGCGCCTCCCGGGGGCGCCTCCCAGCCCGGGGACCCTCACCGCAGCCTCCCGCCGGGGCTCCCGCGCTGCGGGCCGGAGCCGAGCTCGTCCCCGGGGCATGGAGACCCTGGGGTTTTCCTGAGGATTTCCCCCCGGCCTTGGAGGATTTGTCAGTGGGGAGAATTGCAGAAAAAAACTCCAGGGTGATTCTGCTTTCACTGTGCCCGAAACCTCCCGTCGCCTCGTTGCCTTCTCTGCCTCTCATGCTCCAACCGAAAATGGCAAATCCCCGGGCTCAAACCCAGCTGCCTAAGCCGTACCAGCCCCTGCAGGGCCGTCTTCTGTCCTCTTGCTAGCCGTGCGCCAGTCGCACTTAAATTGGGACAGGATAGTAGCAAAAAATCCTCCGTCCCACAGCCATAATCAGTTCTTTCCCTGCCGTTTCCTTCCTCTTTGCCACAGAGTGCAGCAACAACCCGTCAATTTACCCAGCTAAGGGCACACGTGGCCCCTTCCTGCCTCCAGCCCAGGATTTGTTCCTTCCTGCCTGCTCCTCTTGCCCCGAGCTGAAAGCAGCACGAGGAGCCGTCTTCAGCCCTGCTCATCGGTTCTCCCAGGCTGAGGGAGATCATATTTAAAAAAAAAAAAAAAAAGAGTTATTTTGCTGTAGTCTTTCTTGTCTCTACATCTTCTGCTCCTTCTCCAGGGTTCCCCAACAGTGGAGCATAACAGTATTCAAATCCCTCGCCTTTCGGTACCTCTCTGGCAGCTCCTGGACCCCTGTGTAGCTGGAGGAGGAAGGGAGGGGAACGCAGGCCTGTCCTTATTTTCCCTGTGGGCCTAAACACCCAGCAAAATGCAGGGCAATTTGATGTGATTTCCACCATCCCAGGATCTGTGTTTCTCCATCGTCTCCCTCTTCGGGTCCCTTCAGCACTGAATCTCTGAGCTCTAGTAGTGCTGGCGGCGCTGCCTAGATGCCAGCGGCCTCAGAGCGATTCGGGCACTGTCAGGAAAGGCCTTTCCCCTGTGGCCTGCTCCGAGCTGAGCCAGGGCCTCATTTCTCCTTTCCTCCCCCTCTTCTGTCCTGAACTGAATGGCCACAATATCCTTTGTGCTCCCAGGACCAGCTCCAGCAGAAGATCATATGCCCTGGGCCGGTGACCTGCCTGACAGCTTCTCCCAACGGTCTCTACATCCTGGCGGGCGTCGCCGAGAGCATCTACCTGTGGGAGGTAAGGACACCGTCCGTGAGCAAACAGCCTGTGCCTGTTGTGCTTACAGCCGAGCGAGTGAATAGCAGGGGGTGTGGGAATACCAAAATACGCTGGCTAGAACTGATGAGACTTTGTAGTTTTTCCCTTTCGTTTGTTTGGGAGTCCAGGCGGCACCTGGAGCAGAAGCAGCCACTGGGCCAGGTCCTGCACCCCGGGACCAGGGTGTTTTTGCACAGCCTCTCTGGTGGTCCAGGCTCTGACCCTTCAGATTTGCCTTATGACTTCGCATTTAATCATGGCTGTTGTCTGGTAACTTGTTGATGCTGTTTATCCTAGCCTCAAACTTGTGCACAGTAAATTGGAGAGCCAGCTTGAAAGCACCTATAAACGATTTTGAGTCTCATATGTTAAAGTAAACTGGATCCCAAGGAGGTGCAAAATCTCAGCAGTCCTTATGAGGAGCAGGTTGGTGTTTATATCGGTGTTGAATGAGGGTCCCTGGGCAAGAGGAAATTGATTTGCATCCCTTACAGTTAGCGAGTGCTCCTTTCCCATCAGGTGTCAGTAAATGCATGTTATCTGTGCTCTGCGGTGGAGTGAAGACTTTTCTGGGTCGTGTACTTTACAGTTGCTGTTGGTGCTGGTCTGGCTCTGGGCTGTGCAGCTGCTGCGAGGAGCCAGGGCTGGGCTGCTCACCGGCTCCGTGGAAATGCCCGCTACGGTGCAGCTTACCAAAGCAGCGAGCAAAAAAAAAAAAAAACTGCTGGGAGGTGCTGGATGAGGTTTAGGTCTTTTTTTCCCTTCTTTTTCCAAGCAGCTACAGATGCTTGGTCTTAAGAGGTTAGATGTGGCTCCTTCAAAGCAGAAACACAGGATCTAGTTTCCATTTAGCACTTCTTCCACCTTTTAGCCTAATAATTGTATGTGAATTGTGGTCTGGATGCCTACAAAGACTGCTGGACTCTTGTGCTCTGGTCATCATCCTTCTATTTTTATTCAATATTATTATTTAAGTGGGGTTCACAAAATGTGCTAAGCACTTCACCAAGCAAATAAAAAAACACAGCTAGTTCTTAGCCCAGGATTAGAAAACAAGATGTCTAACTTGTAAAGCTCTCAGTCTTGGGGAATGTTTCTGAGGCTTATTATGTGGGCGGCTCTATCTTAATTCATCAGATTTTTCTTTAAAAAATGTGCTTGTGGCAATGTTGGGAAAAAAAAAAAACACCTCACTAGGAATGCTGGGCTGAGGCTGCAGCAAGTAGGAGGTTCTTGCTCACGATGCTGCAAGCTGGTCTCTGCTCTGCCTCACCTGCAAAACTTGGCCCTTTCTGTTTGCTTCCAGCTAACCTTGCCTTGCAAATGTTTCTGAGTGTCTTGCTGGAGTGGGTGAAAGCACTGTCCTTCCGGCTGAGAAAATGGGCATGTTAGTGAGGCTGTGTTGAATCCGCAATGGACCTGGAAAAGGATTCCAGGCGTCCTTGTTTTACGCCTTCTCTATTCTCCATTGAATTGCAGTTTGGTTTTATTTTTAGGGGTAATTCAGACAATGAGAGGGAGTTGATTCTGTTCTTTTATATGGGCTCCCTCGCTGCCTCCTTACTTCCCTCCCTATCTGCAGTGTTGCAACAAGAAAAGCTCCAGGTTTAAGGAACTCTCTTTGCCCAGGTCCGTCCCAAAGCCTCCACTGGCTTGAGACCACATAGCCTTGCTGAAATGCAGCCACCTCAGGGGTGGCACACAGCCTCCTGGACAGTGCAGCATTGCTCTTTTTAAACGGTCTTTTTAAAATAAGTATTATTCAATATGTTTTAAAAATATTTTTAGATTATATTTTTTTATATGTATATTAAGGTTTTTTTCACTTTCTTGTGTCCTTTCCTTTATTCTAGGTCTCCAATGGGAACCTCTTAGCCATCCTGAACCGACACTACCAGGACCTCACATGCCTCTGCTTTACTGATGACAGCAGCCACTTCCTCTCGGGAGCCAAGGACTGCCTGGCTCTGGTGTGGAACCTTTACAGGTAACGGTACCCCACAAGCAGGTGTCTGCCCGTTTGTGCTGGGGACAGAGCGTTTGGACAAAGTACATGAAAACAAGAGATCAGCTACCGCTTCCCTGAGGCCGAATCAGCTCTACCTAAGCGAACCCTGATGGGCGTCTAAGCTGTTCTTAAAATCCATTGGTGGTGATGCGCCTGTGCCCTTCTTCAGCAGTTTGGTCTAGTGTTGTTAGCCTTAGTGCTAAAGAGATTTTCCTTGTGTCTCATCTAAATTTCCCAAGCTGCAACATATGCCTCTGACTTCTTTTCCCCAGTGGACACAGGCGGTGGATTATTGCCTTCCCCTTTGAAGTGGTCTTTTATGTTCTCATTTTCCTTCCCCAGCTAGTGGCAGCTGAGGTTCCCGTCTCTGTGTCCTCTGGGATGGGGATCTCAGTGATGGCCCTCGACCGTGATACCACATGCGCTCTGGCCGCTGACAACTTCTGCATTCTGTTTGATTCTCGCACCCAGGAGAACCATCCCAGAGGCAGCAGAGCCTCGGCCAGCTCCCGTCACAGCCGCTTTGCTGTGGCATCCCCAGCGTCGCTCTTGCTGACTGGCGGCATGGCTGTACTCCCCGCGGTGCTAACCTTTCTCTTTGTTCTCTCCGCTACAGCGTGCTGCAGGCAGAGCCCTCCCAGATCCCTGACCCTCGCCATGTGTGGTCCCGACACAGCCTCCCTATCACGGACTTGTGCTGTGGCTTTGGAGGGCCCTTGGCACGAGCAGCCACAGCCTCCCTTGACCAGACAGCGAAGGTAAGGCTTGGCTCAGGCCCCGCAGCTGCCTGAACAAGCAAGTGTCCTGGAGGTTTGCAGGCCCCATAGGGTTAAAAAATAGTCTCTGCTGGGCTGCAGCAAAGCTGTCCATGAGGGATGCAGTAGCACGGTTTCTTAGCTGTCCCTGTGATGACTCAGAGCTGCCAGACCTGAAGAGTTTCATTTCTCCAAATATGAGCAGTTTCTCGGCTCCTGCCCTCAGGACTGGGCCTCCAAGTTTCCCCAGGGAATGCTGGGTTCAGCTCCTCTATTGCCTCCTGACTGAGATTTCTTCAATCACAAAGAAGATGGAGCTGTGCAGATTTCAGCCCTGGTGGCCAGACAGGGCCAGCACCAGAGCTGGAACCTCTAGTCCACTTCTCCTGCCCTGCAGGAAGGGATCTGCCCCAGGGGACAGGATGGGCATGGAGAAGTTAAAGGCTATTCCAGAGTTGCCTGGGAAATTTGTTGTCTCGTGGTCAGAATGAGGCTGATCCTGGGTTCTCTCTTCATTCTGCCTGACTTGGCACATGACCCTGGGCAAGCCAGCTTGTGCCTTAGTTTCCCTGACCATAGTTAGGAGGGGATGCCGGTACATGCTGTGAGACTGCTGCTGGGCCTGTAAGTGCAGATAAGAAGCAATATGTTCTTCTGATTGCGTAGTTAACGTTTAAGCCTCTAATTCTGTATCTTCTCACTCCAGCTGTGGGAAATCTCCTCTGGAGAGCTCCTTCTTTCTGTTCTCTTCGATGTGGGGATCATGGCTGTGACTCTTGACCTCTCTGAGTATCACATGTTTTGCGGCGGCATGGACGGTTCCATCTTCCAGGTTGACCTGTGTGCCTGGGTGAGTGATGGGGGCTGCAGATCTGCTTGGTGCTGCCCTCGTGCAGCCCAGCCTCGGCAGGGCACCCTGGGTCGCTGCCACACTCCCTGCCTGTGTAACTGGTGATCTGCCAGGATGCCAGAGGGCCCAGGTTCCTCTGCACCCCGAGCACCCTTCTCTGTCACTGTGCCTGGGCTGTTCCCCTTACAGTGAGAGGCATTTCCAGCAGGGATGAGGGAAGGAGGGCAGGAGAGAGGAAACTTCCTAGAGGGGGGTAAGGACCAGGGAGGAAGGGGAGAGCTTGTGGCCTGGAAAATCACCTCTAGTCCATCCAGGCACAGTAATGGACCTGCTGGCTTCAATCTTCCTGGGTTTAAACTTCTGTCTGTCTTCTTTCCTTCATTTCTGCAGCCAGTCCAGAGAGACCGGACCTTCCAGACAGAGCGAGAGAATGGGAAGATCTTCAAAGGGCACAGGTGAGGTGCCAGTCACACCTGCCAAATATCTCCTAGCTCCATCTGCCCACATCACCAGCGTCGCTCCTTCTGTTTCTGTCCGACCTTGGGTCGTTCTGAGTTTAAACTCCCTTTTCTCTTCCCCTTCCAGGAACCAGGTGACATGTCTGTCAGTCTCCACAGATGGCAGCCTACTGCTTTCCGGCTCACACGACGAAACAGTCCGGCTGTGGGACATCCAGAGCAAGCAGTGCCTAAAGACAATGAATCACAAAGGTAAGGCTGCCCATGTGGTGCTGTCTCCAGGAGCCTTTCCCCTTCAACTGTCAAAAGCTGCCACTATCTCACTTCTGCTGCTCTGAAGCTGCCCTGGGCATTTCAGGCATTTCTTTGCTACTTGCAAAAGTCAAGCCTTCACTGCAAGCCAGGCATTAAAACCCTCCTTGAGGCTGCAGAGGTGCCACGGCCGTGAGGTGAGGTTGCCTTCTGCAGCCTTTGCTGGCTTATTCCTTGCTGTGGGCAAGGATTTGGCTTCTCCAGCAGCCCTGGCCCCACTACTACCCTGCTGCTGCTCGTGTGCTTAATCCAGGCACGGGAGAAGCTTGGGAGCTTTATGTGGCTCAGGAGACGCCATCCAGACGCCATGCCGTACCCTGCACCACAGAGCTGTACTATAGGGAGCACAGGATGGAGGGTCCCTGCACAGAGACTCGATAGACAACGTATTCACAGCTTCCCTCTACCGGGAGCTCAGGGGCTCTTCTCTCCCTGACGTTCCCTCTCTGCCACGGCCAAACCCTGATCTTAGTGGGGCAGGAAGTTCCCTGCAGCGCTCATTTCCAGCTGGTCATAGTCTCCCCTCTGCCTTTCTCGTTGCTTCTCTGAGCAGTGATGTTAGCCCCCTGAGCAAGGTCTGTTCCATGCCACCACCCTGCTGACCCCCCCAGCATATTCCCCGAGCCTCTCTCTTCACAAGGCAGAGATGACATGGGCTTTTCTGCTGCAGCTGACATGACAGCAACCTCCAGCTTGATGTGCCCAGGAGAACGAGGCCCCTCTGCTCACAGGGGCAAAGGAGAGGCAGCTGAGGGCAAATGAGAAAGCACTGGCCTCCCCACATGATGGTGCTGGAAATAGATCAGAGGAATTGGAGCGCAGCTCAGGGCTGTGGCTGCCCGGCTCGAGATGAGCGTGGCTGTGGTGGCAAGAAGGACGCAGGGGGCTTTTCCAGCAAGGTTTGCTTGTCCTTGACTGGAGCAGACAGCCAAGGGGACAGAGCATGGGCAGAGGAATGGACTCTGAGAAACTGGGCTGCTGCTCTCAGGTAATGAGCTGTGACTGTGTCGGGCAAGGCAGGACTGCTCCAGGTCACCCCTCTGTCCAGCTTGGCTGGCACTGAATGCACAAGCACCACTCTGAAGGGAGGCAGCAGATCTCTGGGATGAGGGGGAGCAACGGTTGCCTGACTGTGAGCCAGGACTCCTGCGTTCCCTTGCCAGCACTGCTCCAGATTCTCTCTAGGTATCAGTTCCCTTCTGGTCATGCGAATTCTGTCCTTTTGTCCCCAAATGCCTTGGGGCACAGACCATCTTCAAGGGCTTGCTCCTACCCAGCCAGCACAGGGAGACTCCATCTGAGTCGATCCTGCTGGCAGCTACCACAGTGTTGGAAGCTGGATTATTTATTCTCCCTTGATTGAGTCAAGTCCCTCGTCCCACAGGACGAGGCAGGATATTACTCACAGCTGGGTGCCTGAGCCACCCATTATGAGGTGGCTCTGGATGGGATTAGCATCCTCACTGGAGCTCAGGGCTGGGCCCAGGAGAGAGCTGGGGCTGGGGTTGGCTCTGCTGGGGATTCGGTGCCCTGGATGGTGACCAGGCAGAGTTTGGAATTTGTAGGCTAGTTCATGAGATTTTTGTCCTCTCTGCCTTTCTTGATGCTTCCTTACAAGGTGCTTGTCTGTGACCTGGTGGTGAACTAGATGTGGTAATATCCCTAATGGATATTTTCATAAGAGGCAGCAAACCTCTTTTCCTTAGTGCGGGAGCAACATTAGAACAAATGGTTTATTACAGCAAAGTTTTGGCAAAGAGCAGCTTTGGAGGCAAGCCTGGGACTCCTGGCACCTGGCAGAGCAGCTTCTGGACTGAGCATTTGACAGAGCCTTTAAGTTGCCAGCAAGGATTCAGTCTTAGCAGTCTCACCCTCTGAGCAGGATCTGGGTTTGGAGCAGTCTCTGGTCTGGCTGGAGGTGGAGATGATGATGAGGGAGCCCTCTTCTACCATCAGAGGTGCTTTTATCTGTCTCCTCCGCAGAGACAGAAAGCCTCAGCTGGCTCCTTGCCCCCTAGTCCTCCCCCAGACTCCTGCCCTCCCTTGTCCTGTTCTGCACCTTTCTCTGCTCTCTTTGGCAGCACTTATATGTGAGAGCAGTGATTCTGCAGCAGTTCACCTTCGCTCAGGTGGATCTGGCTCCTTTTAACCTTTCCTGTTGTGTCGTCGAGCCCAGCAGGGGGAAGATGGATGGTTGAGGTTTCATTAGTGGTGACTGAGCGGGTCTGTTCGCACACAGGCCCTCTGGCTGCTCCCCTCCGCCGGAGGTGTACTCCAGGCAGTGCTGGGGCCGGGGAGCGTTGCCTGGGGATGTGGACTGGCGGGTGGGTGTGTGTCTGACAGGGAGAGATTTGGTAAGTGGAAGGCAGTGGTGGGAGTTTGCCAGCAAGTGTGAGTTTGGAAAGGGGGGTGGAGGGGGCTGCTGACAGAAAGCAGCAGCCTGTGTGGGTAAATGCAGTAATTAACTCTGCCAAACAAGTGTGTGTGATAGATCATTACCAGGAGACAGCTGTGTGAGGCGCAGCCACTGATGGATGGCTCACTCAGCAGAGGACGGCCAGAGCACCACACTCTCCTGAGCGCGGGCGAGCGCAAGCTGTCCTCTCCTCGCTGCCTGCCGACACAGGGGCATGGAGGGGTGTCTGTGCTCCCGATTGTAGAGGCCTGGGGGAAAAGTACTACTCGTTGCTGTTATAAGATCATACTTTCCAGATGCTGGAGAAGGATGCAGAGCCCTGGCCACCTATTTCCAGGGTTGCCCTTCCCAGAAGCCAAGCAAGATGCAAACCTGCCAAGGGGAGAAGTCTGACCTGTTCTCTCCTTTCTGTCCCACCCCAGGTCCAGTTACGAATGCGCTCATAGTCCTGGCCCCAGCCAACATGTTTAACCCGGATGGCAAACCCAGCGTGCCTCTTCCCAAATTCAGCAAACACCTCCATGGCACCGAAAGCAGTGACGATCAGGGAAATGAGGGAGTGACGCTGCGTCTTGGGCTCCACCAGCAGGTACCCAGGGACGAGAAAGCTGCCAGGAAGGGAGAGATGGAAGTGGGGCGGAGAGGGGGTTCTGTGCACAAGAGTGCAAGATTGATCCTCCAGCCGGAGCAGCAGCAGATAGCTGGTCCTTGCTGATGCGCTGCTGATAGGTAGCAGCTTCACAGCCCGTTCTGGAATAGCTCCTGAGTGCTGTGGGTGGAAGCACCTGGTGCGCATCTTGTTTACGGAGTAATGTACTGTCTTGCATTGGACAGTGAGGATCCAATACCCGGTGGTGGGCTCAGGGCCAGAAGGATGGCTAGCTTGATGGGTTAGGCTGAGGCAGTGGGCAGAGCAGCTGGACGAGACAGGCCTGTGCTAGCTCCCAGCTCTTGCGAGGACCTTAGGCCCATCCCTGCACCAAGCTGCACCCTTCGACTACTCTCTTTTCCACAAGAAGCCTCCAGTGCACATCTGATCCTTTCCCCTGCCCTTGCTGGTGCAGCCAAACTTCCCCAAGTGCTGTTTTATTAAAGTAGTGGAATTGCCTAATTAACTCACTTGCGGTGGGAGGTTTGAGCCAGCCTGCCACGCAGGGAACAGGAGGTCTCTTCTCTTGCTCTCAGCTGCTTCTGGGCCACCCTCAACCGAGGGAGAGGCGCTGCAGGACTGAGGGCACCGGGTAATCCAGAGCTCCGGGAGTAGGTCCTGGCAGGGACACAGGGGGTTCCTCTGAAGTCGCTGCCCCAGTGTCGGTGGTGATGTGGAGGGATCAGGAGGTGGTTTGGGCACTGCTGCTCTGCTGTACCCAAGGTCCTGCCTGTAAAGATCCTCCCCACACACAGCTTTTTTTTTTTCTTTTTTATTTGGCAAGAGGTTGTTTTCCCCTCCACAGACTTCATTCTCCAGTGCAGTGAAATCCATTCTTCCTCCCTTGCATTCCCCTTGCAGTCCGGCTGGTGCAGTCATTTGTCCTTCCAGCCTTGCGCCATGCTGTGGGCTCGTGCTGCTGTTCCGCAGCTCCTGCTGCTCAGACCTGGTGTGGCTGCCGCAGGCCAGGGGGAGAGGCCAGCCCAAGCGAACAGGCACTGTCAGGATCTGCTCTGTGAGTGATCACAGGCTCGCTGTGTGCCAGGCTGGTCCTTCCATCCCCTGGCCTTGCCACAGGGAGTCCCCGCGCTTCTGTCTCACCTCTGTCAGCGTCTGTCCCCAGGAGAGTGATAGCCCTGTCACTTCTGATGGATGAGCTCCATGGAGAGGAGGTGTCAGCGTTTCGAGGAGGGGCTGTTTGTCTGCTGCTTGAGAGAGGGACAGCATGCAGATGGTGGCCGGGCCAGCTCCAGTGCTGTTTTGGAAATGTCAGTCTTGCTGTCAGTCAGCCTCCCCTGCTCACAGCGCAACGCCTGGGGAGAGCAGTCTGCAGTGTGGCGTGCCCAGCGCTTCGTGCTGCCAAGGCAAAGCACGCTCTGTCCGTGCGGTCCCCTTTCAGGCTCCCTTTGGCAGGGCACGGTGCTGGGAGGAGAGGAGCTGGGAGGACACCTGTACAAGGTGTTCTCCAGGGGACTGTTTTGGGACCCCTGGCCCCTGCCCAGCAGTGCAGGGCACAGGCTTTCCCTTTGGAAAGGGGCTGCAGCTCTAGCCAGGCTACTGTGTTGGTACTGCTGGAGTCTCCGCTCAGTCGCTGCTTTGGCCCCCATGGCTGGATCTGGGGAACCAGGGGGTGTCTTTGCCTACTCCAGCGGGGTACTCTGCTCTGGGTGGTGGGTACTCAGCACTAATGAGAGGACCCAGGTTTTCTGTATCAGTTGCTTCTGTCTGATCCTTGCAGGAGTCTGGGGAGAGCTACCTGGAAAAGGCTGAGAAGATGTACTCTCAGATGTGCTCAACAAGGGAAAAGGTGAGACCCCCCCACTATGAGATGGGGGAAGCACTGCCTTCTAGTACAGATCCCTGTCGTGGGGTCCCCATTAAGCAGAAATGGTCCTTAGGGCACTGTGCAAAGTTGGGGAATGGGAGGAACAAGCCCTGGAATTTGCTCATGGTGTAGACAGGAGGGGCACAGCTTTGAACAGGAGATGAAGGTAGGAGAGGATGCAATAGTTTTGGGGTTGCTGCTATCCTGGCAAACACCAGCGCCCACTTGCCAGAGTTGAGACCCTGGTCCCTGAAGCTGCTTTGTTGCATTTCTCCCTCACAGAACCTGATGGGAGACCAGGAACATCTGACGATCCAGGTGAGCGAGCTAGAAGAGGAGGTGAGCACCCTCCGGAAGATCAATAAGAACCTGTTTGACTTCTCTGCCCGCATCATCACCAAACCAGCCAAATGAAGAGGCAACCCCCAGCCCTCCCAGCCCTCCGCCTCTCCCAGCCCAGCTCCTGGGGAAGAACCAGCCAGCCCCTGGGCACGTGCACACGCAGACGTGCAAGCACATGTGGCTCATGTGTTCTCGCAAGCATCTACAACAGTGCGCACACAGGAGCATTTGCCTGCTTGGTCTGGCATCCGTGCGATGACACGCAACTGCGACTGGTGCGGGGCTGCAAGGCTGCTGCGTGTGCTCCCAGGCCAGCTGCATGCAGGACAACACATGGACCGTTTTTACCCCGAGACACTTCTCGGTGCCAGCAGAGACGCAGTGCTGCCTGGAATTGGGGAAGCCTATGGAGTAGCCAGCTGGTGGAGAGGAGTGTTACCAGGTTTTGAGGGAAGGAGTGCGGGATGGAGTTCCTGCTCTTTTCCAGTCTCTTCCCTTGGCCTTTTTTTTTCCTGTTTCTTTTTGTTACTTGACCCTGCAGTGCAGACAGAAAAGTGTTTTTGTCCTCTCTTAATACTGGTTTGAGATTGGATTTGAGAGATCCTTTTCGCCCATCCCGCCCTTGGAAACGCTGCTCAGTATTGCAGGATCCATTCCAGCAGGGATCCCGCTTGTGGGTTTGTTCTGCTCACGTGACAGTGGGGGCTGAGCAGTTCCTGCACCGCAGTGCCCGGGGGAAGCGTGTCCGGCTGATTCCCAGCCCGGAGCCCCACCGGTCAGCACGGCACTGCCTGGGGCCGGGCAGGCGAGACCCGGGGGCGTCCAGCCTGAAGACACGACTCCTGCACCGCCACCTCCACCCGGCCTGGCCTAGCAGGCTGCAGGGTGGTGGGGGCAGCGGCTGGGGCGGCCGTTGGGCTCGGAGCGCGGTTGGTCATTTTGGGGCACAGGGCTGACTCCTTGGGGAGGGGCAAGCAAGGTGCTATTTCCAATCTCGTAAGTTGACAATTTATATATATTTGGATCCAGCTGCTTTGTTTTCCATGGTGTTCTGGGGAATCGGCCTTTTGTATTGTCACTAGCATGGCAGCGGGGGTTGTGGGTTTTGTTTAGGTTTATTTTTTACATAAAAGATTTGTTTTTTATAGTGAGAGATGCCTGAGGTTTTTCTTTAAACCCTGCTGGTGACCGCAGATCTTAATAACCTCCTGCCATCGCTTCCCCAGACTGGGCTGTTACCAGGGAGCGGGGAAGTGAGTCTGCGTCTGAGGGAAGTCATGCTGTTCGCTGTCAGGTGGTCGTCTGCACCTTCTCCCCAAGGCTGTTTTCCCGGAGCCTCCCAAAGCGTCCACGTGCCCTTGCGGTTCACCCTCTGTACCTGCTGTGGTCCCCCGCTGCTTTTAGCCACCTCCAGGAGGGAGCGATGGCCCAGCTGCACCGCCTGCTCGGTGCCGCTGTTCTCAGGCTTGTTCCTGCCTGGAGCTGGAACCGGGTCTCTGCCTGAGGCTGGTAAAAGACGGCAGATCTGGCAGTGCCAGAGCGTGAGGTATCGGTGCCAGGGCGCTGCACGAACCCCAGCTCCTCTCCCCGCAGGGGGCCGTGTTGGAGGGCAGGAGGCAGAAGGGAGAGATGCTGGCAAGGACCAACCGTTTCCTGCCATGGGAACGGGATCGCTGCTTGCCTGACTGTCCTGATGCGGGTCCATCCCTGCCCCGCGAGGCTCTGCTCCCCAGCTGAGGGGCAGGAGTGAGGACGCTGGAAGGGGGGGGCCTGGCCCTCCAGGGAGCACAGCTGTCCCCAGGCGCACCCACTGCATGGACCTGTTTAATACACCAGAAGTAAGTGCAGTTGATTTAAAGTACACTTTAGTAACGCAAGTGTCCACTTTAAGTGTCCACTCTCATGCCAGCCTGCTTAGATAATGCTTTTAGTTTAATAAGTGCCGTTTCTCTTTCCTTTTGCTCCTCATCTTCCTTCTGACATTTTGGATCAACATTAATCGGCTGCATCGGAGAGCATCAGCCTGAGCCAGGGTAGTACTTTGAGAACTGCAGGCATCCGGGGCTGCAGCAGAAACGTAACCCCAGCGTGCCGGGAGCCGGCGAGGAGAGCGCCGAAGCCTGCGTGGGCTGGGCTGGCTCGTCCCGGGGACACAGCCTGCTCCAGCCGCTGATTTATCCCCCGGTCAGGGGCTGGGTCAGAGAGGGGATCTCCTGGTTGTACCCATTCCCTTTCCCAGGCCCAGCGTGGGCCACGGGGCCTCGGTCCCCACCGCAGCTCCTGTCCTGGGTGCTGAGTGCCCACCCTTGTCTCTCCCAGGGGGGACGGAGCTGGCAGTGCCCCTTGCTTGTCCATCGGCTGCTCCAGGAGGAGACGGCAGCTCCCCTGGCATGGGGGGCTGCCAGTGCTCCCAGCGCCCCAGCAGGATCTGCGCTCGCTGCCTCCCCCTCTCCGGGCTGGTCTCTGCAAGGGGAATTCATTAGCTTTAACTCATTAAATTTGCCTGATGATCAGTATTTTTTGCCAGCTGCTACTTGGCTTTCTTGCCTGCTTTCTTTTTCTTATTAATTTAGTAGAGTCTCTCTGTCTGCCTGGCAGCTGATCTTTGCACTCTGGTAGCGGGGAGCCCTCTTGCCTCGCCTCGCCTCCCCTGCCTCAGTTTCCCCAGGGCCTGGGACACTGCTTTGCCTCCCTGCAGAGGAAGACCGCAAAGCTGCTGCGTGTCCAGGGCAGCGAGACACAGGAGTGCAAAGCCCTTAACCCCTGCGTCCACCCTGCAGGTTGAGCCCGGCAGCCCCAGGATGGGGACAGTTTTAAGGCTGGTGTCTCTAATTGCAGGCGTTGGTGTCAGCCTTTGCTAGGTCACAGCTCCAAACCTCGCTCCAGCCATTGCCTTGAGAGACTTTTGCCAAGCCTGGGCACAGTGGGGAGCGCTGGTATCTTCATTCGAGTCACATAGGATGAGAGGTCTCAGCTGAAGCAGGAGGAACGCGCTGGTTATTAAAAGGTAGCTGAAATTCTCCTGGAAACCGTGGGGATTTATGTGCTGTAACTCCTTGAGCTCCCTCCGACAGGCCTTCCTTCCCAGGGATTGAAGTCGCTACGCTGGGAGCACAGGAACGGAAGTGTCACAGCGGGACGGGTCGGGGGGACGGACCCTGCGTGGGCTGCAACGCAAACGGGGCTCGTCCGTGGGGCTGGGACGGGGCGAGCAGCGAGGCTGAAACGCCGCAGGGTGGTGGGATGGGTGACGCGGGGGGCCGTGAGGGCTTGTGCTGCGGGGGTGCCTGTTGGTGTGCGGGGGG